ACAGGGATTGACTCTCCCTGTCTCGTACAAGTGGTAATTTCAGGGTAACCGAGAGTTGATGGAGAAAGGCTTCATAAGGTAGAATTTCTTCAGGTAATAAATTCAGAAAGAATGATAGGATTAGAAAGCTCCTTATTCTACACCTCTAATGAAATATGGGATTGAAGGACAGTCATCATCTGAAGCTAGAACAACTGAGCAGAGGATGGTGTAATCTTCAGAGGGAGGAGGCAGGCTGTGGTCCACATGACCATGAACAACAACTCCCAGCCAGCCTATATCTCCAGATATGACCTGATAGGAGATGCTCAGCACCCAGACCATGAGGCTGATAAAAATCCATCTCACTACCTACAGGAGCAAAGGGGTTATCACAGGAAGTAGCCAGCCAATTCAGAACAAGGAACATCTACAGCATAAGTGGTCACGTTCCTCCAGCAAATCAGTGGGGGGAGGGAGGTGGGTGGACAGGTACTGGTAAAGCAAAATCCACTCAAGAAACACAAAAAACAGAATCCTGAGACAACCAGAAAAAAAATCTAATACTTGATCTTTTTCTTACAGGCCTTCTCAGACATGCATATTTAAGTTCGTATATGTTTAATGTTCCCTCCCACCCACCCACCAAGAACAGAAAGGGGCAGAACAGGGTGAGACAGAGAAGAAGAGGGCGAAGGTTGATCACTGTTTGAGCTGATACATATGGAACTGCCTATATCATTTTCTCTGTTTTTGTTTAGGTTTTTGGTTTGCTGCAGAAAAATTATTTCTGTGTCTCCAACTTGGGTTGGTATAAGTTACTAATTGGCACTATGATAAAAGTTGGTTTGATGTTAAGATAATCTTTGCTAGGGAAAAAAATCACATTAACATAATATATAGAATCCCAAGTTTGTGAGCCATTTTAAAAACTCACTAATATGGCCATGAATTTTATACCTCTTATTTTACAATACATAATAAAATTCTAAACTGGATCGTGGGTCATTTTATGATCATGACTGATACAGTTTGGCTATTTCAATTTTCCTGGACATACAGAAGTTCTTAGTTAATGATTTCATTTTCCAGGGGGGGACGGCCTTGCCCAGAAGCACTAGGACCAGGGCAGCCTTATGCACCTGGGAACACGTGTGCCTCTGGCAGAATGCTGGCACAGACAGCAGGCGCTGCTTCAATGTTGAAGAGACACCTTCTTGTATGTGTTCCCAAACTGTAGATAGAAAATGGCTCAGATTCTCAGTTGATTTTCTGGGAACCCAAAGATTGCCTTCCTGTTTATCTTGGTGGAATGCCTGTGACATCTGATTTTTCTGTTCTCTGCAATGCATTAAAACAAAATTGTCACAGATGGGAAAACAAGAGATCATTAGTTACAATCAAATATTTGATTCCCTGTGTGGAGATGATAGTCGATGTGAATCTTCAATGTGTTAGAGCAGAGACGGGGCTAGTTCCTCAAAGACACTGTTCTGTCCACAGCTTTCCTCAAGGGTCACAGATGCACACAGGTATAATGCATCTGTTTCCTCACTTACCTTTTGCACTTGCTCTTAGCATTGCATCCATTTCTGGTCAGTCCTCAGTGGCTATTACTTTATACGGCTTAAGGAAACACTCCTGAAAGAGCACAGGGGTGCCAAAAGGGGTGTTGTTAGCTTTGGTGGCGGTTGATTCGATGAGTTAGGGCAGTGCCTTTAGCTTCACTCCTCCTTCAGTTCCCACAACAATCCTCTTGGACAGGTGGAGTCCCTCAAAGCCTGGGATTTCTCATGCTCTATTTGTTTCCCTTCTGTAAAATGGGCCCAGTCAGTACCCACCTCATAGTTCTGTTGACAGGTCAATTTAGTATTTGCAGCATGCTTAGAACAGAATGTGGCACCTAACAGCGAGCACCATGTAAGTGATCACAAATTCTTGCACTGCAGTGTGAACCTGCTTTATAACCCCTGGGCCATTGGCAACCACTCAGCTGCTGAAGGAGGTCCAGAATATTGGCAAATTCATCAATGGCTACTGAGCTGTTAGCACACGGTGTGGGGGAACTGTGCTGCACTGGAACTTGCTCACAAATCATTAAGCTAGAGTAAATGGAAATTCTGCAGCCATGGATCTTTGGAAATACTTAAAATCAATATTTTATATTTGCTCTATTCATGAAAACTTTATAAGAATCTTACTTAACTGATTAAGTACCTTTAAGATATACATGTTCAGCATGTAATTTTGTATATGTATTTACAACAAAAAAAGCAAACAAACTTTTTTTTTTGAGAGAGAGAGCGAGAGAGAGAGCGAGAGAGAGAGAGAGAGAGAGAGAGAGAGTGAGAGAGAGAGATGGGGTCTTCCTATGTGACCCAAGCTGGCCTGGGATTCTAGATCCTACCGTGCCAGACTCCCAAATAGCTGGGGTTACAGGAATGTGCCACTGTATCAGGCTGCAAACAAAGGTCTCAGAATGGACATCTATTAAGCAGATTTCAATGAAAATAGAAGAGTACATTTAGGTGTGTAAATAATTTGCATGCCATAGACCTAAATAATAATTTTGAAACAATTTTTGGACTATTTAAAATACCTACAAATGACTAAATTTAGAAGAATCAACTATTTGTGCCATGAATGTGCCTAGTAAGAACAGTTCAGGAATAGTCAAGAACAATTTATATTTACGCTAGCAAAAGGAGGCCTATAAAGAATTAGGTTTTACTTGAATGAAATACATAATTTGTACATATCTAAAATGTTTTAAAGTTAGCTTTTGTAAGCTCTACAATAACTCCTTGACAGTTTTAGAAATTTCTAAATTAATTTCATGGATTCTTACTGCTGCAAAGGGCAGAGCTAGCAGTTTTCCATGTCCCTAAACCACTGTAATGGTCCTCCTCCTGGGGCAGTTTAAACTCTGAGTTGTCATTATTTATTTTATTTATTTTTTGGGGGTGTCATTATTTAAATGTTACCCCCTACACTGAACTGTGTGCTCAAATGTGACAAGATGGATTCAGGCATGTGCCTGCTCGTATGTACTCAATACACTTACTAAGAGCCCGATTAGTAATGTGTGAAATGACACTTTACTGAATTTCATAACACTCTGGGGAAGGTGGATGCATATCTGAGGTAGACCTAGGTCTCAAGAGTGTTCTAAGAAGGCAGGATTTTTAGTTTGGTCTGGAATTTGAAGCTTTGAATTTAATTATTTCCTCAGTTTCCCAAAGGACCAGCAAATTGCAGAGATATTGTCCTCTCTCCAGATTGGATTCCAAGGATGCCCTTTATGTACATTGCAGAATTTAATAAACTTTAAATCATGTGTAGTTGAAAAAGAGATCTTACACTTTGGGATTGAAGCTGGATTTTTCCCCCCCTTTTAGAAATTTGTTCTGCAATGTGGTTTATAACAATTCCTCATACTCTTCTGCCTTGGGGATACACACTGCAGCTCCTGTAAGTCTGTATTTTAAGGACTGGGGTGTGACTTGCAGCCCATGTAGACCACTTGTGAGGCTGGCGTGGGGTTCCCGCACTGGCGGTGCTCAGTCAGCCTGTGAAAACCGACTTGCAGGCTATTTTATTCTTAAGACAGATGGCAGGTGGAAGGCAGCACCCCTGGTTCGTTTCTGGTAAGGTTTCCACCTGGTGCAAAACAAAGAACTGTATTCCACGAAATGCGAGCAGGGGTAATGCCAGCAGGCCTTGCAGCACCCGACGCGCTTCCCGGAGTCCGCGCTTGAACTGGAGCGACCGACGTGGTCACTGAAGCCGGCATGGTCACCTCATTTAACCTGCTGCCATCAAGCTTTCCTGGGGCTCTGATCCGGCAGATTTCACAGGGTTTAAGGAAGGCAAGAAAAGAGCCCTCGCCGTACGGGCCCCGC